AAAACTATTAGAATTTATAAAAACTAAATTGAGTTTAAACGCGTTCTTGCAGAACCAACTTTGAAAACGTTTTTAAATTGACACCTACAGTAAACGAATGTGGAAGGTGGGAAGGATGGGAAGGAAGCATTCGCGCGTAACGTATAGACTTTAAAAGTCGCATCGATATGCGCCCGTTTCTATTTCAAATGAAAACTGACGTTGAAAAATGTATAAAAGCGGCCGCTCGAGGTTCAAATTGAATCCTTTCTCGGGACCAACCCGATCGTAAAATTGAAATTTCGAAAGACAATGTCTTCTTGTCTCTTTGGCCGGATCACATGAGAATTTATACCACATCAAACTATTTTTGTGCCAAAAAGAAAAGCAAAACATTTAATTTAATCCAAATTGAATTTTAGACTACTTTCAAAACTTTTGAAGAGCCTTAAAGAACTTTCAATAGATTTTGACGAAGAATTAATCAAAAGTTAAATGATGGATTGACCAGTTAATAAATGAATCAGCGCTGTAATGGAAGGTGATGAAAATTTCACAACGAAAACGATGTCCAAAGCTTGGGCATCTGGATCATTCGCCCATCGGTCGTTGTCAATAGTAGTTCGGAATGGAAATTGGCGGGTGCCCAAATTATCACCGATTTGTTGCAGTCGAAGAACTTCGATCCTGAATAATTTATTGAATGAATCTATTTTAAGCCATTCCAGAATTGATATTTTCTGGAGTTTTCGACATATTTGAATAATTTCAGATAAGGTATTCATCACTTTTATCACTTTCTCAATGTTTCAACACCAAGTTTTGACAAATTTATTGATATCTGACACTTTTATAACATTTTTTTAAGAAAGCTAGTCGGTTTCAAACCATTTCAAACTATTAAAAATAAAGTCAAATCATTTTAGCAAATTTTGAACTATTTTTGAATGTTTCAGCACCAAGGTTTAACATATTTCATGATCTCTGTAGTACTTTTTAAGAAATTTAATCCATTTTGAGTTGTTTTAAATGATTCCAGAAAATGCTAAATCATTTTAGACAAATTTTGAATAATTTCTGAATGTTTCAGCACCACTTTTTGACAAATTTAATAATTTTTGACACTTGTATAACAATTTTTAAGAAATCCACTTTGTTTTAATCTACTTTAAACTATTCTAGAAAGGGTGAAATCATTTTAGACAAATTTTGAACAATTACTGAATCTTTCAGTACCAAGTTTTATAATGTCTGACATTTTTCTAATAATTTTTAAGAACTCCAGTCGATTTTCAACAATTTCAAACAATACCAGAAAATATAAAACTATTTAAGACAAATTTTGAACAATATCTGAATAATTCCGCATCAATTTTTTACAAATTTGATGATGATTGTCACTTTTATAACAATTTTTAAGAAATCCAGTTGCTTTCAACTCATTTCAAACTATCCCAGAAAATGTCAAATCATTTTAGACAAATTATCAACAATTTCTGAATGTGTCAGTATTAAGTTTTGAGAAATTTAATGATGTCTGATACTTTTATTACAATTTATACGAATTCCAGTCGATTTTCAACTGTTTCAAACGATTCCAGAAAATGTTAAACCATTTTAGACAAATTTTGAACAATATCTGAATGATCTCGCACTAACTTTTGACAAATTTGACGATAATTGACACTTTTATAACAATTTTTAAGTCAACCAGTTGCTTTCAACCCATTTCACAGTATTTCAGAAAATGTCAAATTATTTTAGACAAATTTTGAGCAATTTCGAAATGTTTCAGCACCACGTTTTGACATATTTCATAATATCTCTCATATTTCCAATACTTTTTAAGAACTTTTGTCAATTTTAAACCATATCAAACGATTCTAGAAAATGTCGAACCATTTTAGGCCAATCTTGAATAATATCTGAATGATTCCGTACCAGCTTTTGACAAATTTGATAATTATTGACACTTTTATAACAATTTTTAAGTCAACCAGTTGCTTTCAACCCATATCACACTATTCCAGAAAATGTCATTATTTCAGGCAAATTTTGAAAAATTTTTGAATATTTCAGCACCGAGTCTTGACATATTTCATGATTTTTCTCATATTTCCAATAATGTTTATGAAATCCAATCGATTTCAAACCATTTTAAACGATTCCGGATAATGTTAAACGGCTTTAGACAATTTTTCAAACATTTTTGATTTTGCCAACACAAAGTTTTAACTTATTTAATGATTTTTGATACAAATTATAATAATTTTGAACGATTCCAAGTATTTAATAGTTGTTTTCAACCCATTTCAAACTATTCCAGAAAATGTCAAATCATTTTAGACAAATTTTCAACAATTTCTGAATGTTTCAGTATTGAGTTTTGACAAATTTAATGATGTCTGATACTTTTATTACAATTTATAAGAATTCCAGTCGGTTTTCAACTGTTTTAAAGGATTCCAGAGAATGTGAAACCATTGTAGATAAATTTTGAACAATTTCTGAATATTTCAGCACCAAGTCTTGACATATTTCATGATTTTTCTCATATTTCCAATAATGTTTATGAAATCCAGTCCATTCAAACCATTTTAAACGATTCCGGATAATGTTAAACGGGTTTAGACAATTTTTCAAACATTTTTGACTTTGCCAACACAAAGTTTTAACATATTTAATGATTTTTGATACAAATTATAATAATTTTGAACGATTTTAAGCATTTATAACTATTTTGAGCAATTTTAGAAAATGTCAAATCATTTTAGACAAATTTTCAACAATTTCTGAATGTGTCAGTATTAAGTTTTCACAAATTTAATGATATCTGACACTTTTATTACAATTTATAAGAATTCCAGTCGATTGTCAACTGTTTCAAAGGATTCCAGAAAATATCAAACCATTGTAGACAAATCTTAAACAATTTCTGAATATTTCAGCACCAAGTCTTGACATATTTAATGATTTTTCTCATATTTCCAATAATGTTTATGAAATCCAGTCGATTTCATACCATGTTAAACGATTCCGGATAATGTTAAACGGGTTTAGACAATTTTTCAAACATTTTTGATTTTGCCAACACAAAGTTTTAACATATTCCATGATTTTTGATACAAATTATAATAATCTTGAACGATTCTAAGCATTTATAACTATTTTGAGGAATTTCAGAAAATGTCAAACCATTTTAGACAAATTTTCAACAATATCTGAAAGATTCCGTATTAATTTTTTACAAATTTGATGATGATTGTCACTTTTATAACAATTTTTAAGAAAGCCAGCTGCTTTCAACCCATTTCAAACTATTCCAGAAAATTTCAAATTATTTTAGACAAATTTCAACAATTTCTGAATATTTCAGTGTTAAGTTTTGACAAATTTAATGATGTCTGATACTTTTATTACAATTTATAAGAATTCCAGTCGGTTTTCAACTGTTTCAAACGATTCCAGAAAATGTCAAACCATTTTAGACAAATTTTGAACAATATCTGAATGATTTCGCACTAACTTTTGGCAAATTTGACGATAATTGACACTTTTATAACAATTTTTAAGTTGCTTTCAACCTATTCCACACTATTTCAGAAAATGTCAAATCATTTTAGACAAATTTTGAACAATATTTGAATAATTTCGCACCAACTTTTGACAAATTTAATGATGTCTGCTTATATAATAATTTTTAAGAAATCCACTTGATTTTAATCCACACTTTAAAATATTCTGGAAAATTTGAAATCATTTTAGACAAATTTGGAACACTTTTTGAATGTTTGAGCACCACGTTTTGACATGTTTCATGATTTCTCTCATATTTACAATAATGTTTATGAAATCCAGTCGATTTCAAACCGATTCCGGAAAATTTTAGACAACTTTTCAAACATTTTTGATTTAAGAAGTTTTAACATATTTAATGATTTTTGATACAAATCATAATAATTTTAAACGATTCCAAGTATTTACAATTATTTTGAACAATTCCAGAAAACGTCAAAGTGTTTTAGACACTTTTTCAAGCGTTTCTGAATCTCTTAATACAAAGTTTTTCCAGAATTAATGACTTCTGACACATTTTTAATAAATCTCGTTGCCTTTAAAGTTGCCTTATCTAAGTTCAGACAATATTTCAAAAAAAAAATTTGTGTTGAACCAAGCTTTGGCATATTCAATGAGTTCTGATACATTTCTGTCAATCAATCATTTTAGACAACTTTGCCAACATATTTAAATAATTTAAAACTGAGTTTGCACATTTGAGTTCTTACTAATTCCACATTTGATTTTAAACAGTCTTCGATAAATTGAGAGCGATTTTGAAATGACTTTAATGAATATTTTATGATCGTTAGCTCCTTAATGATGTTAAATGACTAAATGATAAATAAAATTATTCTGGATAATTTTCTGACCAATTTTGAATAATTCTTCACAACTTTTATGGCTCTCTCGAAAAGATTCTTTTCAGTTCAGATCTATTTGCAGAAACTTCTTTGAATTTGACGTTGGTTCCTAAAGAGTCTTTAAAGTCAAAAGATTCAAATAAAGAATGACCATAAGTACTATCCCAAACGTTATCATCAAATTTTAGGCCTAAATCCAATATGTATTCTGATCGATCCGTTGACGTATTACAAATTAAACGGTTGGATGGGCGACAAATTTAGCGAACAGGCTATCAAACCGGCTTCCACGTCGATGCCACCCACCCCTTAAGCCAAGTTTCGTTACTCCCTCCTCGAAAACCACCCAAAACGAACACATTCGACGCCCTTCTAGCTCATCTTACATGCCCTGGAGGACCTTGTTACCCCATCTAACTGCGTATTAAACCGTCTTATTTCGACGAATTTCTCTGGACCCTTGAGGAAACCATCAGGTCCCAAATAAATTACGAAATCACATTACCGAAATAATTTGATTGGGAAAACGTGTTGATATGTTAATAAATTTGGAGAAAATTTGTTTGAAAATAATGATTTATAAACGAAAAATGTATTTACCTTAAACTTTTCATTTCTTCCCTAACCTCTTCAAATTCCTTGCTCTTGGTCAACTTAACCCTCATGCTCTCCCCAATCATTTCAATGTCCTCCCTTCTGTTTTCTAAAAGGGCCGTGACCTGTTTGTTGAGCACCTTCAATTGATCCTCAACATCCCTAACATTCTTCATTTGCTGATCTTGCTGTTGATGACCATCTTCAACGCACAACCCTGGATCAGCGAATAACAACAATCCAACGGTTAACACGCACAGAACTGACATGATGTAGTCGTCTCACTCGCTCTAACGAGTCGTTTTCGTAAAATACTCTTCAAAATAGAGACGTGTTTCGTCGTGTTTTCACTTTTAAAGTGATGAGAGTAACGGCTCGCGATGAAGTAGCGCGTTTACTGACTGATCCGGACTTGGACGAGGTGGTTTTATATACGGGGGATGGTTCCGGAGTGGTCTTGCGCACGCTCGTACCTGTACAGGTGGCAGTCGTACGGTCCGTTTTCTGGACTTGTATTCATCAGCTTGAGTTTAAAAATAAAGTGAAAGAAACAGAAATTAATTAATACTCGAATTATGATCTAGATTAAAATTTTCTTTAAATTTCAAAATCAAAAATAAAATCAAAACAATTTCTTGATTAACCTAATTAATCATAATTAATTATAATTAAAGAAAAAGTGAAAAAGTATTGTTAACTATAATAAGTAATAATTATTGCTTTTAAATATTTAAAACTGAAAAGTTTTTTAATGAAATCGAAATGAATTTAAATGATGCCAAACACGTGCGTGCACGTGCGACAGATGTTCCAAACCCAATCGTCTTCTTCTTAAAACTTTTCGAAACTGTCCTCAGCAGCTGCATCAAAATAAAACTTATAACACATCGTATGAATAGCACCTTGCTGCTATCTTGGTCAGCGTTTATTTTTTGATTTCTTTCTCAAGGTGTTTCTTTTTCAAGGTGTTTCTCTTAAGTAACAAACCATGTTTAATCTGTCAAATATATTTGCGGTTAAATAGATACTATCTCTAATTATATACGAATACCTTTTATATGACTACAACTAAATATTTGGAATGTTACGAAATGCATTAAGTAGACAAATTTTTGAAATAAAATCATCTATTTTAACTTTTTAATCTCAAAAGTTGTCCTAAAGCACCCCTAAGAACACAGAAATATAAAATAGCTGTGTGTCTACCAGAGATATGGTATGCATCTTAAGGTGAAAATTCGTAAGGTTGTGTTTGTAGAGGTTTCAGTTGAATTATGGTATTATGTTTTAAGTTGAATAGTTGGGAACATCACCAAGTGGTAGCTGTGCTTGAAGCATCAGAAATCATTATCATTTAATTGGAGCTTGCTGCTTTGTGAACCTCATCTCCATCGATTCGTTCTTGCTAGATTTCATCTCTCCTTGATCAAATGTTTAGAGGAAGATATTGAGTCGTTGAGAGCTTTAGGGTTATTAAGTTGTTGGGTAACTTAGAAATCAAGGCTTTATGGTGCGTATTCTTTGAACATCGTCGATTTTTTTGAATAAATCAACATCTAGATTTGTTCCAAAATTCATTTTTTCTGGCTTCATTAGAAGTTTCATACCTATTTGATATCTTTATTGCTTCAATTTTGCTTTCCTTCTGGACACGTTTGGGTTTCATTTTTTCTTTCTGCCAGAATCTCTTTATCGATTTTCTGTTATTTATGCTATTCGTGGCATCCTCTATATTATAGTTTATTTCCAATCCGTTTATTCTGGCTTCGTTTGGACTACTCTCTATATCAGTGGTGTCCACTAATTTTTGATCAAGATCGACTTTTTATATAAATGTTTTGCCAAGATCGACCGAAGGGTTTAAAGTAACTATCCTTTTTTTTTGCTCTGAGGCCTAGATATATGTAGATATTTCAGATTCATGATTTTCTTGGCGATCGACGTTATGGCCACCACTGATTTAGAGCTTATAAATAAAAAATAGTAATAATTGAGTTCAATCTTTTTATGGATCTAGTCTTTATGGTCCATTACTAAGGTTTTATGTATAAAAAATATTTCCCCATCGCTTTTAGTTTATGAGTTATGATTGAGTTAATTTTCGAAAATCAACAATTTTGATGTTTAATCGATTTAGAGCTTATAAATAAAAAATGGTAATAATTGGGTTCAATCTTTTTATGGATCTAGTCTTTATGGTCCATTACTAAGGTTTTATGTATAAAAAGTATTTCCCCATCGCTTTTAGTTTTTGAGTTATGATTGAGTTAATTTTCGAAAATCAACAATTTTGATGTTTAATCGATTTAGAGCTTATAAATAAAAAATGGTAATAATTGGGTTCAATCTTTTTATGGATCTAGTCTTTATGGTCCATTACTAAGGTTTTATGTATAAAAAGTATTTCCCCATCGCTTTTAGTTTTTGAGTTATGATTGAGTTAATTTTCGAAAATCAACAATTTTGATGTTTAATCGATTTAGAGCTTATAAATAAAAAATGGTAATAATTGGGTTCAATCTTTTTATGGATCTAGTCTTTATGGTCCATTACTAAGGTTTTATGTATAAAAAGTATTTCCCCATCGCTTTTAGTTTTTGAGTTATGATTGAGTTAATTTTCGAAAATCAACAATTTTGATGTTTAATCGATTTAGAGCTTATAAATAAAAAATGGTAATAATTGGGTTCAATCTTTTTATGGATCTAGTCTTTATGGTCCATTACTAAGGTTTTATGTATAAAAAGTATTTCCCCATCGCTTTTAGTTTTTGAGTTATGATTGAGTTAATTTTCGAAAATCAACAATTTTGATGTTTAATCGATTTAGAGCTTATAAATAAAAAATGGTAATAATTGGGTTCAATCTTTTTATGGATCTAGTCTTTATGGTCCATTACTAAGGTTTTATGTATAAAAAGTATTTCCCCATCGCTTTTAGTTTTTGAGTTATGATTGAGTTAATTTTCGAAAATCAACAATTTTGATGTTTAATCGATTTAGAGCTTATAAATAAAAAATGGTAATAATTGGGTTCAATCTTTTTATGGATCTAGTCTTTATGGTCCATTACTAAGGTTTTATGTATAAAAAGTATTTCCCCATCGCTTTTAGTTTTTGAGTTATGATTGAGTTAATTTTCGAAAATCAACAATTTTGATGTTTAATCGATTTAGAGCTTATAAATAAAAAATGGTAATAATTGGGTTCAATCTTTTTATGGATCTAGTCTTTATGGTCCATTACTAAGGTTTTATGTATAAAAAGTATTTCCCCATCGCTTTTAGTTTTTGAGTTATGATTGAGTTAATTTTCGAAAATCAACAATTTTGATGTTTAATCGATTTAGAGCTTATAAATAAAAAATGGTAATAATTGGGTTCAATCTTTTTATGGATCTAGTCTTTATGGTCCATTACTAAGGTTTTATGTATAAAAAGTATTTCCCCATCGCTTTTAGTTTTTGAGTTATGATTGAGTTAATTTTCGAAAATCAACAATTTTGATGTTTAATCGGTTTAGAGCTTATAAATAAAAAATGGTAATAATTGGGTTCAATCTTGTTATGGATCTAGTCTTTAACGCCCATTACTAAGGTTTTATGTATAAAAAATATGTCCCCATCGCTTTTAGTTTATGAGTTATGATTGAGTTAATTTTCGAAAATCAACAGTGTTGATGTTTAGTCGATTTAGAGCAGTGGTGTCCAGTAATTTTTGATCAAAATCGACTTTTTATATAAATGTCGTGCCAAGATCGACCGAAGAGTTTAAAGTAACCTTCCTTTTTATTTAATTAAAGCCATCTACCGCATACATGTTTTGTAGCGTGAAATCTTGCTCACCTTATATGGTGTTGTGATAGTCATATTGTTGCTTTATCGATTGATGCGGTTTGATTTGCTACTGTTGCTTGATTGTTAGTAGCTTAGCGTCAGTTGACATCGAAAGCATATTTATAATGACCACAATAAACAGCCATTCCGTAGCATTAAAACATTTTGCAAGCAATCGTTGAGGTTTGTGTAGTTATTGAGCTCACTGAGTATTGTCATAGTTTGCTTGAAATTTACATAGACTGAACATTAACAAAATCAGAAATAAATCCGTACTTAGGCACCAACTCTTAGTTTAATCATAGCAAAGCGACCAACATACTCTTTTCAACACAGGTCTTCATTTTAATTGCTTTATCTGCCAACACCATTTCGGTGTCCATATTAGAACAAAATTCTAGAAAAACAAATTGATTTGAAGCAAAATGTACAAATGTACAAAAATTTTTTAAAAATTTTAGAAAATTTTATTTATTGTAGAAATAAAATCACATTATCTTTTAAACTCATTCCAAACTCAACTTTTCATCATTAATTTACTACATATATTTTTACTCCAAAAACTTGTAACAATTTATATTTAAATTTTTCCTCCAATTTAACAAATCCAATCATAATCTAACTTGTCAATTTTGTTTCAAAATTATTTTTCCAATTTTTTATCATCAAACCCTATTATTTCTTCATCCCGTCCACAAATGGAACCTTTCAGCTTTAATTTACCTCATAAATCACATTTTAACCTTCAAAAATAAGTGATAATTTTTACCCCAACATAACGAAAATTGTATTTTTTTAAAATTTATTAATCAAATATAAATTGTAAATTATGCAATGTTTCTTAATTACAGACATTAAATTAAATACACAGGAATCCCCTAAATCATTATATTAAGTAACACATTGTTAAAATTTTCTTTGCGTATTCATAAAAGTTGAAAAAGAGGTACTTTTATATTATGAAATGCATTCTAAATGTGTACGTTGAAACTACTTTTATCGGTTAGAGACGATAAAATCTGCATTAAGATATACAAGGAGTTGCTTCGCCGGCGCCATAAAAATCTAAAAAACCACCCAAGACAATGGTTATTTAATGGCGACGTCGTAAAATCACTGTGTTGACCTACATTTTCAAATCGATACTATTGAACATTTATAATCACATTTCTCTGAAACGTTTTTAATGTGTTTTAGGTTAAATTTGATATTTAGTGAATAAAAAAATAGTGTTGTTATTGGATTTTATTTTGTTTATTTCAGAGGAAATATTAAGTAGGGCACTGATTAGCATCGTAAAGTTCGTGTTGGTAGTGTTGGCTTATTACTCAAGCTGCGAGCTTAAAATCCACTTGTTCCGGTTTGTTTTAGGTTGTTTTAGCTTGCGTTCTCTCGCTCGTTACGGCTTCTTTCATCGTTTAATAGAATTTTTACTCGGTTATTTATCTTTTGGCGGAAGTTAATTTTACTTCACCGTACCCAAAAAAAAAAATATAACGAAAGATCCTTCGTTTCTCCTTTTCCACTTTCCTCATCTTATTCCGCGTTAAATCACAAAGTATATTTCACAAACTTCCCCTTGTTTTGC